GCATTAACAATAAAAGCTGAGTAACATATATTAAAGCTACTCTTCTACATATTCCGAAAAAAGTTTTATATAATTAATTACAATGAAATTGCAAAAATCAAGAATATTATATCAATGCACAAATTCAATTCTAGAATCGAATTTTAAATTTAATTTATTGAGGATTTGGCTGAAGATTAAATCCGTTTACTAAAATTTTATTTAGGAATTTTTCGTTAGGTTAATGGGAAAGTATGGGAATAGTTTTCTAATACATTTTCGTCAGTTAACAGATTTAAAAAAATTAAGTCAGTTTTTTCACATTTTGAGAGTTTGTAAATGAAAAACTAAAACGAAAATTTTGAGCGAAGATGTATTTTTCTTTTAATAAAAAATAAATTATTAGAATATTATTTAATAATAAATAATGCAATATAAAAAAAATACAATGTTACAAATTATATATGTATAATAATCACTAAACCAATGGCTCATTCATGCATACAAAATTTCAAACGCGAATGATCACACATTCTGTATATATGCGTTCCAACGAATGCGTTCCAAATATGTTTCAAATACAAATGAATAAATTGAACATACCCTAAATAAAAGTTTTTCATGGCATTTTAACAGTTTGAGAAAGTTATTTTTGACATATTTACAAAAAAAGGTTTGGTGGTTGCATTTCCTTGAAAACGATACTAGTAACTTAATAATAAGTTATATAATATAATAAGTTATATTTTTTGTTGTTTTTATTTTTAATTCATAAGTTATTAGTGTTATTATTAGCTATTAGTAAAAATAAAACTTACTGAAAATTTGAACTAAACATCGCCTTATTTCTTTTCTATTTGGATTGTGATTATTTAGTGTTCAAACTCTGTCGTCTTCTCACAACCGACATACGGATTTCATTCTTATCCAAAATAGCAACTCTGTAAAATTTTATTCTTGATTTAATAATATTTACTGCCCATACTTATCAAAGTCCAGCACTTCTGTTTTTTTTTCTAGTAATCATTGAAGAAAGCACTATCATTGGTTGATTTTGAATTATTTGTAATTTTTTAAAAAGTATTGTATGTTCTTTTGTATATACAGCAACTGTCGCTTTTATCTTGTGAACAACATTATAAACATTACACCATATATTAAATTACTTAAATTTTCTGCGTTTTCTTCCATGCTGATTTATTTTATTCAACCAATACAACATTTAATATCATCTGTTTACAATTAAAATGTAAACGCGCAAAATCTCTAAAACTAGAACTTGTTGACACATAAAAGCTCTTTCCCATTCCTTAAGTAACTCATGATAATGTAAACGCAAAAAGCTCAATGTTACTATATAACTTACTAAGTAAGTAGTGAAAACGTAGTATAACATTCCAGGTAAATGTCACAATATAAGGATTTTGTAAACATATCAAAAAAAATTAATTCGAAAACAAACAAAAATCATATATTAGTATTTTATATATAAATAAAATGTTTTATTTTATATTAATACAATAATTGTTATTTAATTATTATATTATTATAATTTTTAAAAATAATTACTATTTTATTAAAATCGTTGGCATCTAAACTGACATTTATCAATTTCTTTTTCACAACGTTTCAATCGGTTCAGAATTTCAAACATGGCGTTGAAATGAAACACCGCTTCCGTTGTGTGGGCCAAATGTTCGGTTTTTTCTTTTCGTACGGTTCTTAAACATGACTGGTTTAACGAATAGGGTAAGTGCGGAATTTTTGGGAAAAAAATTAAGTTAAACTACGTTTTAAATATATATAAATTTGCAGTAAAGTGTCCTTTAGCTATTTTTAATAAAATGTTGATTAAAATTGCAGTTTTACTATTGATAAACCGAACTTATAAATTGATATAGTGAAGAAAGTTTTTGTGGAATCTCACACGTGCCACAAGTGACGCTATCTGTCAAATTTTTAACGAAAATGAAGTTACAATTAAAAGAAGCACTAATTTTAAAGTGAATAATATAAAATCGAATTAAAAATCGTTAAATGGTTACATTTATTGTGTAAAAATTTTGCAGTTGAATAAATTAGTGTTAACATAACCTTATTTTTGATTCGTGTATATTGTATTTGTTACATTTGCTTTACATTTTTTATTTATAATTGCAGGCCGTTGTTATTGATGGTCGTGGCCATTTGGTCGGCCGTTTGGCTTCCGTCGTTGCTAAATATCTTTTACAAGGTGGCAAAGTAGCTGTTGTACGATGCGAAGAATTGAATCTTTCTGGTCATTTTTACAGAAACAAAATTAAGTTCTTGGCTTACTTGCGTAAACGTTGCAATGTTAATCCTGCCCGTGGTCCATACCATTTCCGTGCACCATCAAGAATTTTCTACAAAGCTGTTAGAGGTATGTGTAAATTGCAATTATTTATATCTGGAGTTTGAGTTATGATGTAAAAAATAATTTTACCTACATTATTTGATGTATAATGAAATGAAATCAAACTCACTGATAATCATCGTTGCAAATCCTACATTCTTCAACCTTTCTACAATTTATTAATATTTACTATTGTTTTCTTATAGGTACGTAAACATGTTCTCAATTTATACTTATTGTATGTATTTCCTGATGATTCTCTACATCTTACCTACATTATTTGAATCCAGAATATGTAACAACACATGACTGAAACAAATTCCAACAACGTGAATACGCATAACTAAGTAGTTTCTAATTAGGTTTGTTTTTTTTTCTTTTTAAAGGCATGATTCCACACAAAACATTGCGCGGCCAAGCTGCACTTGCACGTTTACGTGTCTTCGATGGTATTCCACCACCATACGATACACGTCGTCGTGTTTGTGTACCAATTGCTATGCGCAGCTTGACATTGCGTTCGGACCGTAAATACTGTCAAGTAGGTCGTCTATCACATGAAGTTGGTTGGCATTACCAAGATGTTGTGAAGAGTTTGGAAAGAAAGCGCAAGGCCAAATTGCGTGTCACACTCAAGCACAACAGAGCAATGAAGAAGTTGACTCACAAGGCTCGCGAAAATATTGCAAAGGCTGCCGAACCCTTCAACAAAATCATCAAGTCTTATGGTTACGAATGTTAAAATTCGTAATTCGTTTACTTGTGTAAATTTAATAAGTGAAAAACATAAATCTTTTTAAATAAACAATAAGTTAAAAAAACAGCTGTTCTACTATATTTTAAAAATTTTTATTGTTTATCTAAAGTTTTGCACTTTAAATTTGGAATTCTATTGTCGCTTATATGCCGCTACCATATTTTTTTGCCAACAAAGTTGAATTTTGCCATTTCCACTCATCTGGGACACAGAGCATGTCTGCCACCATCTACAGATAGCTGTACAGCTGTTATAAAACTAGCCATATCGCTGACAAGAAAGCATTTGGACTTGAAACTTCATTTGGATACCCGTTCCTGCCCAATGCATGCGACTGGTTACCTCATTCCAGCAATGCTTTGTATGTTTTTCGTCCATTTCACCACTTCACCACACTGGATATCTTAACTATACAACCCTTTGTTTTAATAAGCTCTGATGTTGCAAGCATAGAAAGTTGACCTTAGATTTATTTGCATTGTACGATCGAACTGTTCCAAATCTGTACATTCTATAGAACCCATTTCCATAATACCAGCGCCATTAACAAGCACATTCAGATGTTTGTATTTTTGTACAACTTTTTCAAAAGCAGTTTGGATATCACATTCGCTTCTCATGTCTGCCTTAATTGTTATTGGCGGTTCCTTAGATTTGCATTTCTTCGCGGTCTTTTTAAGACCTTATATACCAGAAACTGCACCAGTGATGAATACCACTTTGTCCTTAAAGTTCATTTTAAGTTTGCTGACAGATTCCTTAGACATCCGCCTACTGCACACCCACAAAATGCGGTATAACAGATATTGTGTTTTGGCAGCGGACATATTAAAAAAATATATTTGTTCAAATATTCTTATTGGAAAAAATAAAATAATGTAGTATTTAAATAAATTACCATCTAATTTAATTTCGAAATACGGATTAAGTTAGATATTTTTCCTAAATCATCTGGGACACAGTGCGTGTCTACCACCATCTACAGATAGCTGTACAGCTGTTATAAAACTGGCCATTTCACTGGCAAGAAAACATATCGCACTTGAAACTTCAGTTGGATTCCCGTTCCTGCCCAATGCATGCGATTGTTTACCACGTTCAAGCAATGCCTTGTATGCTTCTTCGTCCATTCCACCTCTTTTTTGCAAATTCGTTACAATAGTACCTGGATTAACACAATTACAACGTACACCCTTGAGTCCCAAATCTAAAGCAACACTCTTTGTTAATTGATCTACTCCTGACTTGGAAATATTGTAAGCTACCAAATTTGAAAAGGAACGGACACCACACACACTGGATATATTAACTATACAACCCTTTGTTTTAATAAGCTCTGGTGCTGCAAGCATACAAAGTTGATACATGGATCTTAGATTTGTTTGCATTGTGCGATCATACTGCTCCAAGTTTGTAGATTCTATAGAACCCATTTCCATGATACCAGCGCCATTAACAAGTACATCCAGACGTTTGTATTTTTGGATAGTTTCTTCAAAAGCAGTTTGTATATCGCATTCACTTTGCAAGTCTGCCTGAAGTGTCAGCGGTTTTTCCTTGGATTTACATCTTTGCGCTGTTTTCTCTAGACCTTCTTTACTTCTACCAACCAAGGCTAATTTAGCACCGAGTTGTGCAAAGTCCGCAGCTGTTTGTGCACCTATGCCAGACGAAGCACCAGTGATAAATACTACCTTGTCTTTGAAATCCAATTTAAGTTTGCTGCCATTAGTGTCACATTTCGTTGAATTTAGCCTTCTGCACATCCAGAATTTGTGGTATAATGACAGATATTGTTTTCTGGCAGCGGACATATTTAAAGTATTACATATTAAATTTATTTACTTTTTTTACGAAAAAAAAATAATCTAGTATTTGAATGCATTGCCATCAAATTTTATTTAATTTCACAATACAAAATATTCAGATTTATGTCCTAAACCAGCACCTTTGAAAAGATTATAGCTAAGCTATTGTATTTCTTAGTCTCAAAATATACTATACTTATTGCAATCTGCATTTATCTTGGACACATTGCATGTCGACCACCGTCAACTGGCATGTTGACACCAGTTATAAAGCTGGCTTTCTCGCTAGCTAGAAAGCAAATCACACCCGAAACCTCATGCACTTCCCCAGCCCTTCCCAATGCATGTGTAGTTTTACAATGTTCCAAAAATTTTGCATATGCAGTTTCATCCATACCACCACGTTTATGCAATTCCGTTGCTATAACACCTGGGTTGACAGAATTGCAACGCACACCTTTTGCTGCCAGTTCTAAAGCAACGCATCGTGTAAACTGATCAATAGCCGTTTTTGATATATTATAAGCCAATACATTCGGGAAAGCACGCAAACCACAAACACTTGATATGTTGACAATATTTCCCTTGGTTTTTATTAATTCCGGTACGGCCAACATTGTTAATTGATAGACAGATCTCACATTAGTATTCATAAGACGATCGAATTGCTCTAAGTTCGTGTTTTCGATGGAACCGGTTTCAATTATTCCTGCAGCATTTACAAGCACATCCAGGCGTTGGAATTGTTT